GGGTTACCATTCCATTTTCACCCATCATAAAAAAAAATAAAAAATTTGTAAAAAGTATTTTTTTGCATTTTTGTTGTATTTTTTTTAAGAGAGGGACTGGCTGAAAACCTACTCTGTGCCGCTGTACAGATTGCATTTAAACACTTACAGCATCAGCTAAGCCAGTTCCTTTTGCCTGATATGAGACACTTATATATATTTCTTTTCTGTATTTTTTTTTATAGTTGTGTTTTTCTGGCAATAAATATTTTCTATTCTATTCTAATTTTGAATTAAATTAATACAAATAAAAATCGATTGATTGAATGCATGTTACGATTTGTTACTAATTTTTTTAGTGTTTCTGTAGTTATATAGAAAAAGCCTTAACTAGATTCGTTAATTAAAACGAAAGCCGGAGATGATGATTATTAGCTCCACTATATGCTTAGTATGCATACACTTACGCGCAAATAAGTCATTTATTCTTATTGATTTAATTACGCCATTTTTTTTTTGTTTAATGAACAATGGCGTCATTTCTGTAACGCTATTTCTCTAAATCAATCTCTTACCCAAATATTTTACTTTGATAGTTTCACAAAATTACTATTTTATGGACCATTATAAAATACCATTAAATTTATAATAACTTTTACTAAAATCTATTTGAAATTTTGTTTATATAGTGAAATAATGAATAAATAATAAATAATTATAAAAAAAAACTATTTTCATCAAATGTGCCCATATTCATGGAATAAATGATTTTAATTCAATATATTGACCCTTAGAATGAAGGTTTCGCTGTAATATCAAATTGAAACTTTAATTTTGTGATACGCTCAGAGAAATGGCGTCTTAGAATCAAGCCCACAGTCAATATTTTACCGAACCCAGCGTAGCAAATAGAACTATAATATTTCTATGTAAGATTCTTTCTCGATAATTAATTAATGGTCTACGAGTTGGAATGGGTGTATCCATCTATTGACACAACACTATAAAGCCATTGTTTTGTTTTTAAAACGAAACAGAGGCACAGCCAGATCAGAAGCATAATCAAGTGAGCCGTCCTATTTGACCAGCCGTCAACTCGACTCGCTTGCGTCACGTCACACGCGGAACGGCAACGTCGCCTTTCTCTTTGTGCGTTGCGGGAGGTTTATTTTATTTATCAAGCATTTTTAGATGATTTTTTTTATTGAAACAATAAATATTGTTCTGTAGTTTTGTATCTGTATTGCATGAAATAAGTTTTTTGGTTAGAAAAAGAAATTGAGAAAAAATATGTGAAAAGATGTCTGTTTTTTATTTATACATAGATATATTTTTTTTTTCATTTATTGTGACTTTGGCGAAAGCCATCAGCCAAAAAGTAACAATTACAAGGTAACAATATAAAATTACAAGACAAATTACAAAAATTATTATAGTTATAAATTAATTATAATATACTAAGAAAGTAAGTTAAGTAGAAAAGTATAAGTTACAATTACATATTTAAATTTCACCAATTGTTGAAGTAATATAATTAAAAATTTCTTGGTACAAAATGGTATGTTTTAGTAGATCCTGCACTGAAGTAGGAATATTTTGACATTTTAATAAATCTTGACATTGACAAATAAAAAGTAACCGTTGAAGTGAGAATTTAGGACAAACAAAAAAAATATGATCCAAATCAGAAAAAATGTTTTGGCAGTATTTACAGATAGAATTATCCAATAAATTAATACGTTGCAAATGTGCAGGAAATTTACAATGACCTATCCGCAATCTACTTAATGTAGTATAATATTGTCTACCAAGAAAAACATTAGATTTTTCCAACCAATATTGTAACCAGACAATTTACAGATTTTGTTAGAATCAAACCAAGTTTTATTTAGTAAAATGATATCAAAATGTGATGTAAAGTTGTAAATAAAGTTTTTAAATTGAAATATTTTAGACAGAAAGCTTCTTGAGTTCCAATGAACAATATTAATTTCCTTTAAAGATGTAATGGTCATGTTGAAAAATTAGATATGAGTATTTCCTTAATTAATTTGGATGAAATTGTATCAGAATTAGTTTGAGCTTTCTTAACTAGCTCAATAACAGTCTTAGTAATTGTGTTGAGTACAATGTCTGAGTTAATGATGTCAGTAACTAATGCCCTTTTTTGAGGAGATTTATTTTGCATTGGGCTGTTAATAGACACAGGAGTATTTGAATTAATTACAGAGTTAACCGATTTTGAAGTCACTGATGCATAAGATGTTTTGCCTAGAATTTTATCTTTGATTTGAGACAATTTCATCGATTTAGTGGGACAGCTATTAGATACTGCTACATGTTGTCCATTACAATTAACACATTTAGGGTTCTCTTTGTTGATACAGGATCTATAATCATGGGCACCGGCATATATGGAACAAACTTGCTTACTTCTGCAGGAACTGCTTCCATGACCAAATTTGTAACAGTAGAGGTCTAATGAATTCACGCACATCCAGCCAAATATGATCATACGTTACGTGATCAGGTCGCTGCGTAGAGAGGAAAGTTACTAAAACTGTAGGAAGAGGATGAAAACTTTCATCTTCTTTCTTTTTTTTGAAACGTTTAACACCGATGATATCTACAGTAGATTTTAAGTTATTTAAGAGATCTTCCTCAGATATTTCAGTAGGAGCTCTTATAACTCCCTGAGATTCCAGCTGATTATTGGGTAACCTAGCCTGAAGTTTATGTTTCTCTAATAAATCTTTATTTAATAAAAATTCGTTAGCCTGTTTCATTGATCGAAAACATATTTTGAATGCAGTAGGACCCATAGTACGAATATAGAATACACCAGGTACAGTCCTCAGAATAGAATTGACTTGCAATAAGTTTACATTGTTGCCCTCAATAGGAGACAACAGGATAAAATATTCATTTTTAGTAGTGTCAGAATATAGGTAATTTTGATCTTTAAACAGTCCTCTTTTTGAGTGAGTAAATTTAATACTCATTTTAGCATTTGGCTCTTCATCAGATATGGAAGTATTTTTTTTTCTTTTTAACTTGCCTCCGCTTGACTCGCACATACCCTCTAACAACACACGAGGGCTTAAATTGGAGAAATAAGTAAAAGAAACTAGGAGAAGCAACAAATAAATATTAAACAAATAAAATGAATTTAAAATTTCCGCCCTCGCGTTACAAGTTTTCCCGCCTTTATCCTTATACATAGATAAATATTGGCAAAATGCCTGTAGTAATTATAATTTAACTACAATAGGAAGGGCAAAGGAATTAAGCCACACTGCCTGATCTTCTAAAATGCCTGTTATTCTTACTTCCAAGTAGCCGCTTTAAAAACAAAAACAAAAAAAAAAAAAATTTCTATGGTCTTAATTTTTATATTTTAAAAATAGAATAGAATAGAAACATATATTGCCAGTAAACATACAATTAGAATATAAAATATAAATAACATATTACATACAATTTAACATACAAAAAGTGTCCCATACTAGGCAAAAGGAATCGGCTCAGCTGATGCTGTGAGTGTCCCAGCGCAATGTGAACAGCTGCACAGCGCTGGTTTACAGTCAGTACCTCTCTTATACGTTACTTATACTTTTTAAATCTTCTCAATGTATCATTAAAACAAATTATTAGAACTTTATTTATAGTCTTGCCTCTGATCACATTATCAGGTGATTATTTCGTCAACCGCAGCCATTATGGTGCACATGACACTCGACATGTCGAGGGATAGAAGAGATTGCTAATAATGGGGATTTTTTTTAATGGATGATAATGGAATGGTAACCCCGTCTGCGCTATCAGTATACGCTGGCAAGGCACCAGTAAGGGATAAGAGGTGAGGATGAAGCAGGTCAGTTAGCCCATCGTGACGTATTCAACAAGAATTGTTGGTGGTGGTTTCCAGGGGAAACCACGTGGAGGTTGACCTGATAGGGCATATTACTAACAATGGGGCTGTCGAACTCCATTGCTAACAATCCCTTTCCCCCCAATAATGGGGATAAGCACCTGCATTTTTTAATGTATGATAATGGAATGGTAACTCCGCCTGCGTTATTAGTATGCACAGGTGGGGCACCAGTGAGGGATGATAGGTGAGGATGAAAGCAGGTCAGTTAACCCACCGTGACGAATGCAACTAACATTAAACATGATGGTTCCAGGGGGGACAACGATGAGGTCGACCTGACCCTGTCAGGTCTTGCTAGTAATGGAACTTGTAGCCCGCATTACTAAAAATCCCTTTCCTCTAGTAGCCCCATTTTTTTAATGGGTGATAATGGAATGGTAATCCCGCCGGCACTAACGTTTTACGCTGGCGGGGTGTCAGTGAGAGATGACAGGCGAAGACGAAGAGGCAGCTCAGTTGGCCCATTGTGATGAATGCACCTGGAATTCAACATGATGGTTTCCAGGAGAGATCACATGGAGTGTCGACCTGACAGGGTTTTTTTTGATAGGTGAAAACGTAATGGTAACCCCGCCTGCGCTAACGGGATACGCTGGCGGAGCACCAGTGAAGGGTAATAGATGAGAATGAAAACAGGCCAGTTAGCACATCATGATGAATTCATCGGGAATTAACCATGATAGTTTCCAGGGGGAACCGCGAGGAGGTAGACCTGGTTGGGTATATTGCTAGCAATGGGATTCTCAGTCTCCATTACTAACAATCCCTTCCCCCCTATATCTATGACTTGTCTTCGTGTGCATAGAGTTTTACAATCAATTAAAATCAATAATAGTCGAACGGATGCGTCAGATACGTGATCGTTTATGGGAAAGACCTTGCCAACAATTACCATCAGGAAAAATAAAACCAAGGGCTAATCAACCGCCCATGCGATTAAAAAAATAGTCTCGTAGGTTTTCCCCATGTAATAAAAAAAACAAACAGTACCATAGATTTTCTTATGTTTTTATCTTTCTCTCATGTTTCCTTAGTATGTATGTATTTAAATTAAAAATTATTTTAGCTGTCATCCTGTAACGTCAATATGTTTTGATGTTCGAAGTAGGTCAAAGATATCGAGGCAGTACGAGGTATCAGTGTTGCCTGATTATCAGGTATGTTTTTAGCAATTTTGTATAAAAAAAAAATTCTGTGTATAATTTTTGATTTTTTTTTATACCACTGAGATGGCAAACAAGCATACGACCCACCTGATGGTAAGCGGTTACCGTAGCCTATGAACGCCTGCAATACCGAAGGTATTACGCGCGCGTTGCCGACCCTGAAGAAACATCTTTACCCCCCCTTTTGAAGAACCCCATGCTGTAGTCTCTTGGGTAAACCCCGGCAGGGAACTCATTCCATAACATGAGTGTTCGTGGGAGAAAATATGGAATTCTTGTAGAAAAGTGAAAAGTTTTTAGAGAAATTTAGTTTTTTTTTTTTTGTAAACGTATTAATGTAATAGAATATTCGAAAATGGGGTAACCTTTCGTCTTTTATTTTATATTTATATAAAAATTAGTGAAAATCAACATAAATTTCTGATTGGATAAAAGCAAAAAAATGCTACGATTTGATGAAAACGTATTTAACGTTTGGGTAAAAATCGAAAATTGCATCTGGCAACCCCAAGCGGCGCCCTTGTCAGCTTACGAACACGTGGCATCTGTCTAGCGCGAGTTCAGTAACTGCGTAGCGTTGTGTAACCAACTTTCGTTACGTTAAATCGTTAAATTATTCGTTATATTTTTCCGTTGAAAATAACTATTTTATAGCTTCATTTATCATTAATTTTCAACGCAAGCGTTTTGAAACATTGAATTTATAACTGCTGTAATACAAAAGTGCTGTGTAAAAATGTCTAGATCTGGTAACACAGTAATCTGGGGCTACTTTGTAAGGAATAATGAAAACAAACTAGGGATGTGCAAATTTTGTAAAAAATGGCTATCGTACAAGACTACAACGACTAACTTGAAACAACATTTGAAATTAAAACACACAGATGTGTTCTATGAGATGGATAGAAAATTACGTGCGTACCGTGATATGGGCAAGGAAGAGGAATCCCACGAGGAAGGTAATATAAATAACAACTATACAAATTGTGTGTGTGTGTGTGTGTGCGTGCGTACGCGCGCGCGTGTGTGTGTATGTGTGCATAAATATTACTAATATAATAAAATTATAACTAGTCAATATCTGTACATGAAAGATATATAAGAAAAAATGATAACCCAATAAGAGTAATAAAAGCTAAAACAATTATTTTTTAAAAATTGTCTATCTGTCTTGTTTTTTTTATGCAACTTAGAATGGCAAAAAAGCTGACGGCCCACCTGATGGAAAGTGGTAACCGTCGCCTATAGACATGAGCAGTACCATGGACATAACAGTGTACTGTTTCGCCCTTGATACCCCCCCCTCATACGTTGCCATTCCTGAGGACTCAGGTGTTATTCCTCTGTACCCTGTAAATTCACAGCCATATCCCACCCTTCAGACCGAAACACAGTCATGCAAACATAACTGTTGAAACACGAATGGGACAGAGGTGGCCAAGCAATCGACTTTTGTACAAAGTCGCCCTTTGGTAGACCTCTGGTCCCTCTATTTGTCTGTTTATACGTTCTGGTATCCCGCAAAAGCTACTGTACTAAATTGGACATGATTTTCACAGTCTTATTCCTGATTTAATTTAAAATCTGGTGTACATTTTATCTTAATACGTCATCTAGAACTAAAATATTTCATTGATCAGAAAATCAGAAATTCACGCGTACAATGTGGTGGGTAACATAAAAGCTAGTATAATATAAATAAATAACGTAAAAATAGCTAACAAAAAAAGTAACATGTTATAACAGCGTTATAGCATGTTGAAAGTTATTCACTGTTTAACGTTAATAGTTATTCGTAACTACTGTTAGAAATGTTACAACGTTGTTATGTTTAATTTTACTGTTAACTAAATATTGCTTAATTGAATTCCTAAATGTATTGGTGTCTAAAATTTAAAGAATCACCTAAGTTTATGTAGGATTCGTGTGTCTGAACCGTTTATAAAATAAAATTGTAAACAACTTAATGCTTAAAAAACTGCTTTTGCTTATTTTCTTTCATTTAATGTTACGTTTTCGATATTAAAGTCAGATTAAGTTTTTCCTAGCACTTACACTGCGGTTCCTTAGTATTCGATTTTCTGAAACTAAAAAACTTTTCCTGTCATTCATGGACATAAGACGTCAATGTTATATGTCAGTGATAGATGCGCAGAGAGAGCGCGGCGCGTACAACACGCGACCAACAGCGCAGCTTACCGCCATGTCACTTTCGAGGTCAGTGAATCTGTGAAATCTGTGAATGTGACGCGTCACATTGCTATCATTTATTCGGTGAAATCCTGTTATTTTACATTGTGTTATACTTTATAAATAATCTAAATAATTATCAGTTATTTATTGTAAACTCAAACGGTTTTGGACCTTAATCCTTTACGCGTAAGGAAGTGTTGGCAAAATGAACAAAGGTAGCAGTAGCCTAGTATGGGATTACTTTGTGAAGAATCATGAGAACAAATTAGCAGTGTGTAGTGTTTGTAAACGTTGGTTCTCTTACAAAACATCTATTACGAACTTAAAAAAACATTTGAGGTATAAACACAAAGATCAGTACAATGAGATGCTTAGAAGGTCGGATACTCGCTGCGGGAGGCGCTTCCTTGAGGAATATAACGACGATGGTAAGGAATTAAGAACTGTTTACCTACATACATTAATAATGGAATTAAGTCGTTATCGGGAGCGTAAATAATTATAATTTATCACAGGTTAAATCACTTATAATGTTAAATAATTACAGTTTATGATATCATGTATATACATCTCATTAACTAGTATTGTTTTTCATATATCCAGTGATGTGATTGCTACTACATAATACTTAGTTTTTTTTTTTCGCAGAGAAATTTTTCGCATTATTTGAAACGGAAACTCGTTAGTTAGGTCTGTGCAATCATCTCTATACAATATTAAGAAATTAACATTGCGTTCGTAAAATGGAACGCTGTTTTTAATTTTTAATATATGACGTTTTTTGCCTATTTACCTACTTTCTTCAACCTTACATATCATTCTACAGTGTGAGGGTGTGAAGCGCGGGCTGGGGGGTGGGGGTGAGGTGGGAGGGAATACATATTTTTCGTCAAAAATACCTATGATTTTTCACTGCTAGATACGGGACTCTCTCCCTAATTGAAATAAGCTGAACCGACTGGCCACTGCAGTACTTAATAATAGAGTACAAAAAATTTATATAGAAAATGTTTAATATGTCAATTATTTGTCAATGGCAAATGTTACATTACTAGATTATATATTCTGTGGTACGTTAAATTTTGATCTCGACTGGAGTCGTTTCACGATTCGATCCGCTAATAATCATTTTCCGTGCAGTATCAATATCCTACAGACGGAAGTAGTTTGTGCTAGTCTTTTACAAGGCCGCTTCCTGATCTGACGTGTAATATCACCGTCTCTAAGGAACTCTTTCTACAGTTTTAAGGACACTTCTACAATGGAGTGGGGGGAAGGGATTGTTAGCAATGAAGTTTGACAGACCCATTGCTAGCAATATGCCCTATTAGATCGACCTCCACGTGGTTCCCCCTGGAAACCATCGTGAACAATTCTTGTTGAATTCGTCACGATGGGCTAACTAACCTGCTTCATTCTCATCTATCATCCTTCACTGGTGCCCCGTCGGTGTATACCGATAGCGCGGGTTACCATTCCATTATCATCCTTTAAAAAAAAACTTCTAAATGGAGTAATCTTGTTTTGCGTTCCGAACTATCAAATATTCTTTCGGGACATCTCAAGGGTTACCGCTACTACTCGTCTAAGGGTGTCAGCCATATTTATTTTTACGTTACTTATACCGAATCACAGCTTTACGTGACCTTCGAAGTACGGAGCAAGTGATAATTATTTTTAATCTATCTAAATGTAAATTTGGGAATTTACTGTCCGCCATGTACTAATAAATAATATTACTAATAATAGTACTAATAATAGGCGACGGTTACCGCTTTTCATCCGTTAAAAAGAAATAAATATATAGTGACATTACAATGCTAAGTAATAACAAACAAACTCACTTTCACATTTATAATATCAGTAAGTATATGTAATCTTGCATTCATATTGCGTCACGGGAGAATCGCCTTCAGCCACTGCACAAGGTCTCAATACATATTTACTTGTTATTGAAATATAGAACGAGCGCTAACATCAAAAAGAATAAGGAATTGCAAGAAAATGTTTTACAAAATAAAAAAAATTGATAAAATTTCTAATGACAGCGATGTGACGGATGGCAGCGTGTTATTTTGGATTTTAAAAAAAACATTAGAAACATAAAATTCCAGACAATTTATCATATTGAAGACTAGGCAGCATCCGACCTTAGCCTGTTCCACAACGGAAGAAATGTACTAAAAAAACAAATAAGTTCGTTTGGTCGTTACTTCTTTAATAATAAATTATTTTATCTTAAAGTATTTTTTCTTTTAATCGCCTGTGCCAACATCACGGAAATAAATCATAGTGATGTAACTACATTATTGAGTTACGAAATTCCGAAAACCTTAACAACCACTTTGAACCTTTTTTTTTTTTTTTTTTATACCACTGAGGTGGCAAACAAGCATACGGCCCACCTGATGGTAAGCGGTTACAGTAGCCTATGAACGCCTGCAATACCAGAGGTATTACGCGCGCGTTGCCGACCCTGAAGAAACCTCTTTACCCCCCTTTTGAAGAACCCCATGCTGTAGTCTCTCGGGAAAACCTCGGCAGGGAGCTCATTCCATAACCTGAGTGTTCGTGGGAGAAAGCATCTCTGAAACCGCGTTGTACGCGACCATTTAGGCTGTAAGATATGAGGGTGAACTCCCTGCCGATGGCGAGCCGTACGATGATAGAAAGTGGCCGTAGGCATCATATTGAATAATTCCTCTGAGCACAATCCGTTGTATAAGCGGTAGAACACGCAGAGTGAGGCAAAATCTCTCCTAAGACTTAAGGGTTCGATACCGCTTGCAAGCATGGGA